GAATTGATTTAATTCCCTTATCCTAATGGTTAAATTCTTTTTTTCAAATAGGTATTGTGTAAAAACGTACACTGGACATTTGGAATGGGTACGGATGGTATCCCCAAGTGAGGATGGCAAGTGGATTGTAACCAGTTCGAATGACCAGGTCAGCCCTTTTATTTAAAAAAATATTAGAAATTAGTAAATTATATTATTTACTACGTTTTGCAAAAAAAGTCTGATGTATTTATTTATCAAATTAAAAGACCTCTCGACTTTGGGAAGTATCATCTGGAGAATGCAAGATGGATTTTAGAGGTCATGATCACGTTGTAGAATGTGCAATTTTCGTTCCTGTCATCGCTTATCCTTTCATACGAGAATTGATAGGTATAGATAAAGATGTATATATCCCGGTTTTTTTTTTTTTTTTCTTTTTTGTTCTGTTATTAATTTATCAAGAGTTCAAATTTTTAATGAAATCAAAAAATTTTTTTATGACATAAACGATCTATAGCCAAAAGCGACATCTAGAGACCAACCAATTCCCGCGCAATATATTGTGACTGGTTCAAGGGATAAAACAATCAAACTGTGGGACTCAACAGGTCAATGTGTAAAGACACTGGTATGATATAAGAAATTTGCAACGCCTTGACAAAGTAAACGTAATCTGTTACTTACCTTTTTATACGATGATACGTATAGGTGGGTCATGATAATTGGATACGTGGGTTAGTATTCCACCCCACTGGCAAGTTTCTTCTCAGCGCATCTGATGACAAGACTGTTAAAATATGGGATACGAAAACTGGTCGATGCACAAAAACTCTAGAAGCGCATGCACATTTTGTAACGTGTATCGCTTTTAATACGAGTAACCCCGTGGTGGCAACGGGGTCTGTGGATCAAACGGTAAAAATTTGGGCTCCTTATAGGTGAAATAATTATTAAAAAAAAAAAATTTTTGTTAAATAATGGTTATTATGGGATATCATATATAATTATATATCATTAAAACATAGAGTTTTTTATGTCACAATATAAAGAAGGGATTCATTCATTGTACACTCCCGTCAATTATTAGTTTCTCTCCGTTACCTTGTATCACAGTGATTTTTTTCTTCTATTTCTTTTTCATTCGGTCTCATAAAATTATTAATAATTCGATCGTATAGGTAGATCTGACAATTATTTAATAAACATGCGTAGCGTAGAGTGTTCATTTATTTAAATAATGTCGAATCAAGTGATCGTGGAATAATTAATGTAACCTGTTCAAACAAGTTTCATTTAACTAACAAAAATCTAAACGAGTTAGTTTGAATTTGGGTTATGAGTAATATTCATTCGTTAGAAACAATGGTTGATCATCATGGTTTTTTAATTTCAATTGATTAATAATAGGTGAAAAGATTTAATTAGATATTGGAGGAATTAATCTAACGTACTTTATGTAATCTTACTTTTTATGAATCTCCTATTGACAAAAACGTTTATATAGTTGGTAATCCTAAACTTTTAAATTATTCAGCAAATTTTTATATCAAACATAAATAAAACGCAAAAAAAAAAATTCTGGTTTTGGATTTAATTTTTTTTTCTAAAAAAAAAAAAAAAAAAAAAAATTTTTTTGCGAGATTGTCGGATAATTTAACGAACTTTAACGAACTTTAAACGAACTCAAAAAAAAAAAAAAAAAAAAATAATAATAATCAAAGTCCTTTAGAAAATGTCTAGCTCACTTGATCAACTTTCTATTAACACTATTCGTACGCTTGCTGCGGATGTTGTAAGAAAAGCTAATTCTGGGCACCCTGGTACGTTTGAATATTCACTTGTCGAATTTTTTTGGGGGTTGACATAGTACTTTATACATTATGAAAAGAAATGACTGTGTACAATTCCGACGACTCATGAAAAATATGAATCCCCTTTCTCCTTAGGTGCTCCAATGGGTTGTGCTCCTATGGCTCACGTTCTTTTCTCAAAGTTCATTACGTCCAACCCGGAAAATCCGAAATGGGTAAGTTGAAGTTAAATGGTGAAACAAAAAAAAATTTTGCTCGAGTGAATGTAAAAAAATTTTTGGGCCTAAATTATGATTAGTTGGTCAAGTTTAAAAATCGTTGATCAGCATTAAGGAAACCTGCATAACTTAATATTAATAACGCTTGTCTTTCTCAGCCTAATCGTGATCGTTTCGTTTTATCCAATGGTCATGGATGCGCGTTGCAATATATCTTACTTCATTTATTGGGATGTAATCTAACTTTAGATGATCTAAAAGCGTTTCGTCAAACAGACAGCAAGTAAGTATCAATGTTTTGTAACATTTATCCAACTTTCTTTAATTTTGTATAGGTAAGATTCTAACTTTTTTTTTAGGACTCCTGGTCACCCAGAGTCTCACATGACTGATGGTATTGAGGTAACCACCGGTCCACTTGGGCAAGGTAATAATGTCAGATAATTGATTTAAGTCATCATGTGTATTTAATATCGATCAAGAATTGATTTCTCTTCTTACCAATTTTATAGGTTTTGCGAATGCCGTAGGAATGGCTATGGCCCAAGCTCATTTCAGTGCTACTTTCAATAAACCTGGTTTTGACTTATTCACAAATCACACTTACGCGATTTGCGGTGATGGATGTCTTCAAGAAGGTGTTGCTTCCGAAGCAGCTTCCCTTGCTGGGTAAGACATTTAGATAAAATTTTTCTTAATTTCTAAATTTTTTAATCGAAATGATCTGCTAATCAGTATTTTTGTATCAGACACTTGCAACTCGGCAATCTGATCGTTCTCTATGATGATAATCACGTGTCCATTGATGGTATATTGAGATTTAGTCATCCTGCTCTAAAATTAAACGTTTTGTAATTTTTATGCAATTTAATCATAGGTGATACGGAAGTGAGCTTCACCGAAGATGTTTGCAAACGTTTTGAAGCTTACGGATGGCACACCCAAGTGGTTTCGGATGGTGATCATGATCTAGCAAGCATTACCGATGCTGTTGAAAATGCCAGGAAAGTGACAGATAAGCCTTCACTTATCAAGATCAAGACCATCATCGGTATTGGCTCAAAAAATCAAGGTACTGAGAAAGTTCATGGTGCCCCATTGGCACCTGACGATATCGTCCAAATCAAAAAGTTGTACGGTTTCGATCCGGAAAAATTCTTCTACGTACCTAGTGAGGTTTATGATTACTATGGTCAATTCCGTCTAAAAGGTAAAAAAGCCGAAGCTCAATGGAATACACTTCTGGAAAATTACTGCACCGAATTCCCTGAACAGGTAAATCTAAATCTAAATCACTCCGGTTTATTCGGGGGAAAAAAGTGATGGGCTAAAAAAGTTATAATCTAATCACTTAACAGGGTGGTGAAATCAAACGTAGATTCGCCAATAAATTGCCGGAGGGTTGGGAACAACATTTACCGCGTTATACGCCGTCTGATCCCGCGGTCGCTACTCGAAAATTATCCGAAAATGTTTTGAATAAAATCGCCGACGTCTTACCAGAACTTTTTGGTGGATCGGCAGACTTAACTGGTTCGAATTTGACGCGATGGAAATCCGCGGTTGATTTCCAACCCGATTCAAATGGGTTGGGTAAATATTCAGGACGTTACGTAAGATATGGTGTTCGTGAACATGGTATGGCTGGTGCAATGAACGGTATTACTTCTTACGGGGGCATGATCCCTTTCGGTGGTACTTTCTTGAACTTTATCAGTTATGCGTTGGGATCTGTGCGATTGTCAGCCCTTTCTTCATTCCGTGTTCTTTATATAATGACTCACGATTCAATTGGATTGGGTAAGTAATTGCGACAACTTTTATTGGGGGAATGAGGTGATTCACACGTGATCATCATGATTAACCTTCTTTCTATATATAACAGGTGAAGATGGACCCACTCATCAACCGATTGAAACAGTCGCAGGTTTACGTGCATTGCCAAATATTTTGGTGTTCCGTCCAGCCGACGGTAATGAAGTATCGGGTGCTTATCTTGCAGCGATTAACAATATTACCAGACCGTCAGTACTTTGTCTTTCTCGACAAAATTTGCCTCAATTAGAAGGTTCTTCTATTGAGAATACTCTTAAAGGTGGTTATGTATTGAGAGAATGCACGGATGCGAGAATTACTTTAACTGGCACTGGATCCGAAATGGGAATTGTAGTTGAAGCAGCAAAAAAATTGGAATCCGAGGGGATTAAAACACGCGTAGTATCTTTACCATCTTTTGAACTTTTTGAAGATCAAAGTGTTGAATATAAATCATCAGTATTTCCTGATGGTATTCCAATTTTAAGTGTTGAAGCACTCGCAACCTTTGGATGGTCAAAATATGCTCATGCAAATATTGGTATGACGACTTTTGGTTCGTCCGGTCCTTATCAACAACTTTATAAGAAATATGGCTTCACGGTTGAAAATATTACTGATAAAGTAAAGAAAACTATAGAATTTTATCAAACGAATCCCGTTCCATCAGTTATTTATAAACCTTTTTAAAAAATCTAAATTATTATCTTACATTTTTATTTAAATATCGGGTTTTTTTTTTTTTTGTTATGTATTGTTTTTACGGATGCTCTTTCTTTTTTTACAATAATGTATTGTATATAATAAAAAAATTATGATTTGAAGCAGTGAAAAAATTTCAAATGTGCTAAATTTAATTTCCGCATAAATTTTTGAATTTTACTAAAAAGGATAATGTACACATGCTAAGGAATTTAAATTTGATTATCATCACCAATCGAATTAACGAATTGTTTTCTTATATAAATCAGGTTTATTTAAATTCTTTTTACGCAATTTCTTTTTTATATCCTGGTTCGTTTTTCCTTTAGCTTGCATAAACATTTGACAAGAGCCAACGAAGAACCATTCTTCAAGCTAACACTATCTCAACTTTTCGACTAATTTTGTGAACGAGAATACTACCATGAATACTTTCAAGAAGCAAATATGGACGTATGATCCATTATATAATACCGAAGTAAGATTATTTATTAAAGACATATTTAATTTAACATGTATTCAACATCAAATAATTGATGGTAAAACTGGTAGGTTTAACTATTCATTACGCTAAAAAGTCTTTTTTTTTTTTTTGTGAGCTTATGTAAAGTGCGCATGTTTATTTGCAAGTACAGGAACGGAAAAACAAGTATCGGTATTTTACTATGGTAAAACGAAAAGGTCAATGCAACTTATTGATATCATTGGGATAGTTAGAGCCATTGATATAATTAAACAGAAAGTGATTAAATATTATCGTAAATATAAATTAATATATATTCTTTCTTGATAAGCATCGTACGCGTTTCATATTTAAAGTCAACCTTTTTTATTTTCGCGTACAACAACAACAACAACAACAACAACAACGACAACGACAACGACAACGATGACGACGATAATATAGTTGACGACGGGACATCTACCATTGCATGCGTGGCGTTCGCGCCAGAAGATAAATCTTTTACGCAGCAGCGAGGTGATCCAACGAGTTCATCGGGAAGTAGTTCGATTTGTTCTACACCACAAATATCATCCATTATTAAAAATACTAAATTTAACCTAACAGAGTTGGTTAGGGTGATTGGAGTAATTAATGAATTTAATCAAAAGAGAGAGATTAAAATCCGTCATATGGGTGAGTATATTTTAAGTTTGAAGGAATGAATGAAATGTCTTTATAATAATAATAATAATAATAATCATTTTAATAATCATAAAGGAAGTATATACGTATATGTATATATATATATAATTTTTTTTTTTTTCTTTTTTTTTTTTTTTCGTAATATGAAAATCGGACATATCTTATAAATGATAGAAAAACTTGAAGATCCGAATGAAGAATTACTTAGATGGACTGAAATACTTTACTTAAAAAATCACGTATATTGCAGAGAGTACAATATCTCACACCATCAAAATCCGGGACGAGAAATCTCACTTGTGAAACCAACCAATAAAGTTCACCGGAATAATATATCAGAATATTATTCAAAAAAAATGAAGACATCATCAGTCAAACCAAAGGATAGTGAAACGTTGAAGAGACGCATTAAAGAATACATTAAAAACAATGAACTAAATGAATTTAGGTTTAGTAGAATTATTGAAGTAGCTGAACTACAACAAGTTGCAATCAAAATCTTACATTCGAAAGGAGGAGATGGATTTAATTCCGAGAAAAAGGTTAATGAAGAAGTTAGAAATTTATTTAAGAAAACATTGAGAAGTTTGGTACAAGATGAGAAATATTTACAATCGGATCCGAATTTAATTTCATTTAAAGTCATCAAAGGGTAATAAAAACTTTGGTAAAAGATCTTTAATTATCAATAAATTGTACAAATTTAGAAGGTATCGTAAATTTATCAACGAATAATTTATGATTCCAATAAATTCTCTTTAAATTTGGACAATTTTGAGCCAATTCATTAAAATCACTATAATTCAATGATTTCAAACTATAATTCTTGTTAGTATCATCACTTTGTAACGTTTCGGTAACAAATAATTCATATAAATTAGTTGATAATTTAATGCTATTTATAATATCATGTTTTGTTAATCGACTAAACGTTATTGGTATGTTTTGTAACTTTAATGATTTAAGGACAAGGTGTTGACAAATAATATTTAAGCTGTTTGGAGAAACTTGGATTCCATCCAATAACAATTCTTCCATCGCATTATTGATGGTGTTGCTCTTGTCCACGTGTTCTTCTACTGCTGATGTACCAATGTTTAAATAGAATTTTAATAAAACGTTCCCAATGTCTTCGCTGTGATCGATAGATATCTCTAACGAATCATCATAAAGTTTTAAGTCATAACCATGATAATTCGCTGGAGGTTTGATTACTGAAATTTTACGTTGTGTCTTGCATAAATTTGATAATGAAAGTAAGAATTTCTCCGAGAAAGGACCGTAATCTATTAATAATTCCTTTAGCCTACATCGATCTTTGGTATTGGGAGTGGAAAAATTATCTTGAATTAATTGTAAAATGGTCTGTTCGGTCAAATTTTTACATTCAGTAATTTTTAAATATTGAAGGTTAAGGGAATTTTGTGTAATCGTAAGTAACGAATCGTCTAACCCTTGAAATTGCAAATCCAAGGATCTTAAACTTTTATTTTGACACGCCAATGAGATTAAGAACTGAGATGAACATGACGGTTGTATATCGATCGTTAAATGTGTTAAATTGGTTAAGTTGGACTTGTAAATAGGATCCGGAATTGATGAGATTTCATTATCAACTTTATTAGGTTTAATCGTGATAAAAGGTTGTCTTCTGTTGTTTAATAATTTCGTTGTAATGATATTTCTTAAATTCCTCTTTCCAAAATATCTTTTATTGGTATTTGTATTGATATTGGTGATGATGTGATTCAATTCCGAACTTTTCCCATCGGAAATATCACTCGACTCGGAAATCAAAGGGTTGAGTATATTAGTATCATTAACGGAACATTTGTTAAATTTCAATATACTCAACTTTTCCAATTGTGCAATTGAATTAATAATACTTTTACTCAAAGTGCACTTCCCGATCACGACCTCCCTCACTTTTTCACATTCTTTAATGATTTTGCTTAACTTTTCTCCTGACATGTATGCTAAATTTGGACTATCCATCGTAATGCTTTGTATGTTATTCACAAGAAATTCCTTTGTATGAATCGTGTTGTATAAAATACGGTGTTTGGTACGATTTAACGTGCAAAGGAAAGTGTCAACGCCTTTAACGTTTTTTAACTCAACTCGTGAATAAAGAAATTGGGTAGAAATTTCGTTGAATAAACGTGATACTAGTGCGCTAGAAAGTAAAGAACTCTGATCGAGGTTGGATATAATTATCGGAAGTATATCCGCATTTGTCATTACTAAATATTTTGCGTGACTTACTGCCATTGATTTTATTTACAAACCGAAAAAAAAAAAAAAAAAAAGAAAAGAAAAGAAAAGAAAAAGGAGGAATGGGAAAAATTGGGGAAAATTGATTTAGAACGCCATATGATCTTTTAATTTTAGTCGAAACCATATATTGTCGATGTTGTGTGACACAACAATGATCCCGAAAGTCCGTCCGCTTTAAAATTAAGAATGGTTACATTTGTGCAACTAACGAACTTGACGAAACCTTTTAATTAAAAACCAATCATAATAAAAATAGGTATCAAATTTATCAATAGTTTTAAAGCAAAAACGATTTTAAAAATCGATCATTGTAACAAATTTTATTGTAAAGTTGATAAACTTAAAAAAAAGATATATATTAAATAGAATGACTATATTAATATTCTATTTCAACCAATTAATTACTATTGATCTCAAATAATAATAATAATAATAATCATCTAACTGTAAGTGTCAACCAATGAATCTCTCATTTCTTTGACTATAGCAGTCGGTTGTGCATCATGCAACTTGAAAATGTTTTCTACCACTGATATCTCTGTTGAGGTACTATCCAATCCGGCAAATGCACACCAGTCGTTTACTACAATACCTGCTCCAATCACATCAGACCCACGATTTATTGTTCCCGCCTATGAATTTGCAACATAATAATCTTAGAAAACGCTCATGCTTTTTAATCATAGAATCATCATCTTAACGTACCACGAGGGGAACTTGTAATAATGAAGATAATTCATCCTGATCTTGAACAGACGTACGCGGATGAACCTACGTGAAAAAAAAAATTTATTATTAAGGAATTAATTTCAATCGAATTGTAAATCCTTTTGTCGCTTACCAATCCACCTTGATTATTTATTGCGCAATAACTTCCCACAAGAACATTTCCGGCGATAGTCTGGGTGAAAACTTCAACTCCCAACACATCACGAATAATCTCTTGAGTTTCTCGATCAATATCGGGATGCACTAAGGCCACATAATCATTACACGCAATTACATTACCCAATGCAGAAAGGCGTTCTTCGATACGTTGAATTTGCACGGAATCCGGCAAAGAGTTACGTAAATGTTGAAGTTCTTGATCGGTCGTGGTATTTGGGACTAATAATCCTTTACGATTGCCTAAGTGATTAATGATTTAATTGTGAGCTCAATCTTTACGGTTAATAATATATCTTTAAGGAACATTCGTTATTTACCGACTGTTAACCGTCCAACGATCCGAGTACCAGCAATCGAAGCATGAATTACGGGAATTACATCGCCCAATTCACCTTCGAATACACTATAATAAATCTTAATTAATATATCAACGCGTATCATTTAAAAAATTTTTTTATATGGTACAAACCTATAAAAGTTTTCAGAACCTCCGATCGCGACCAAGCAATAAGAATTGGTCAAACGAGTGAAAACTCCAATATCATTACTATTTTCAAATTGTGCACCTTATTAATAAGCACAAAAAAAAAAAAAAATTTTATTTATTTATTTATTTTATTTTATTTTCTGAGAAATCAATTATTGGAATTTTTCAGAGACTTTACTTACGAACAGCCATTTTATTAATCAGTGGAGTACGAAAAGGAAAATTAAAGAAAAGTAAAGAGAAAAAAAAACAGAAAAACTATCAAGAACTTAAGTGAAACTCAGAATTTCGGAGTTTCGAAAAAGTTTGAGAGCCACTTTAATTTGAATGGGGACGGGTTTCTTTTATCATGACCGATTTCAAACACGCAGTTTTGACCGTAGTTTTGACCGCAGTTTTTCCGCAGTTTTTCGCAAGCGCAGCTTCATAATTATTGAATAATCTACACTTTTTTAAAAAAAATTTTACAAAATGGAAATTGAAATGCCAAAATTAGTGATAGTATCTTCAACGAACTTTACCTTTTAAAGCATTAATAATATTTGATATCACGTGTACGTTAAGAGAGTTTTTCCAGAAAATTTAAAAATAAAAATTTATTTATTTATTTATTACTTTTAATTCAATTTGCTTTAAACATAGTGTGGCTTTTCAGTCAGTTTTTTTTTTTTTTTTGGAAAGTAAGTTGTATTAATGGCAACCCCTACCGAAAATGAAACTGATAATTGGCCACAAAAAAATGATCAAAATGATAGCAGTTGGATTGCTAAGCAACCTACAAATTCAGACTTGGATACCACCAGTGCCTCGAACAGTTGGGAAGAACCGTACTCTAGTTCGAAAAATAACGATAGACGTCACAAGAAAGGTGGCTCGTATAAAAACAGAGCTACTAAGTTTTCTGCTACTCAAGAACCAAGTGGTTGGGGAGCTGAACCCAGAAACAAGGACTCTGGCGGTTGGGGTGGCTCCTCAAGTAATTTTGAAGAAGTAGAAAATTGGGGTATTACTAAAACTAATGATAATGATAATAATGTGAGTAGCTGGAATTCATCTTCAATTAATCATAATAGGGATATCAATTGGGCAACTGAGACTGATGTACAAAACAAAAGTAATGGTTATAAAGATGATGATATCAATAATAAGGGTACAGAGGCTTGGGTCGTAAATTCATCTGATGCTAAAATAGGTGGATGGGGAGAAGAAGCAGATGATAATATTAAGCCTGAGAGTGTAGGTGGATGGGGAGAAGAAGCAGATAACAATAATAAGAATCAGCCCGAGAATGTAGGAGGAGCAGTAGAAAATAAAGATAAGCAGCCCGAAAATGTAGGAGACGCAGCAGTTAATGATGATAAGCAGCCTGAGAATGTAACTGGATGGGGAGATGAGCCAGAGAATGTGAAAGTAGATGAATGGGGAGATAATACAGCGAATGGAACTGGATGGGGAGATGAGCCAGAGAATGTGAAAGTAGATGAATGGGGAGATAATACAGTGAATGTAACTGGATGGGGAGATGAGCCAGATAATAATAACTCCGGAGAAGGTTGGGGTACTATCATGGAGAACAAAGTTGATCAATGGGATCCTTCCGGTTATGAAGAAACCGATAAAACTGCTGATTGGGTTAATGATCAACAAAGTTACTCAAATAATTATTCAAGACGAGATGATCATAGACCTAGGGGTATTCGTGGTGGTCGTAGCTTTCGTGGTAATCGTCGTGGTGGACGTGGCGGACGTGGCGGACGCGGTGGTTTTTCCGGTGGTAGAGGAAGAAGAGATGGACCGCCAATGCACAGAGATGATGATTATAGAGGCCATAAACCATCATCTTCACGTGAAGTTCAAACCAGCGAGAGTAAGTTATTTATTTACTTATAAAAATAAAAATAAAATTTTATTATACATATATTAATATTAATTAAATTTGATCAATATTTTTATTTTTTATTTCTTTTTTTCAGATCATGATTTACCTCTCGAAAATGAAAAAAATAAGGATAAACCCAAATATGTCAACACTAAACCTGGTAACATTTATGAAAGCATTCATGCTCCCAAAACTCAAAGTGTTCCTTATGTTAATAAAGATCGAGTATTATCAGGGGGAGTCCATCAAGTAAGCCTGTTACAAATTAGTGTGATTTATCATAATACGCCTATTTTATTTGATAAGTTTTATTTCAAATTATTAGAAACCGGATGAAGACGTATTGACTAAAAAGTTGGAAGAAATGAAGATCAAAAATGAGATATTGGAGAAAAGACGCAAGGTAATGATTAAATAATTTATTCATACAAATAAAATAATTAATTAACCATATATGAACTTATTTTGTAATTTGGAAGGTGGCTGAGGAAGATGAAGCAAGCTTCCGAAAAACTGAAGAAGAGCGAAAGAAACAAGAATTGGAAAATCTGGAATTACAGAAGAAGATACAAGAAGAGGAGGAACAAGAAAGGAAACGCCACGAATTTCAACAGTTACAATTACAGCAAGAAATTGAGTACGCGTTATAAGGATTATTAATCTCGTTAATTTTTATCTCCTGCTCAATTTAAAATCTAAATATATTATCGTTTAATATCTTTTTTTTGTAATTAAAAAGTCAGGAGCGTGAGGAAAATGCTATGCGCAAAAACAAGAACCGTGAAAACAGGGAATGGGATATGGAAAAGAATGATTCTGACTGGCATGACTCACGGAACCAAAATAATAATTCACGTGACAGAGGCAATACTTCTTACAGGAACGGTTCTCGTGATGAAAATTCCTATAGAAGAGGTTCTCGGGATGAAAACGAATATGATGAATCGAGAAACGCTCGTGGAGGACGTGCACGAAGTCGTGGTGGTGGTGGTGGTGGTGGCGGTGGTGGCGGTGGTCGTAGCCGTCTTCGTGGTCGTGGTGGTTGGAGAGGAAAAAGATATAGCGATCAATATAAAGATTTCCCTAATAGATCTGCTACCACTGAGGAAGGATTCGGTAGTGGAAATAGCTGGGCAGAACAAACAGAAAAGGATAACAATATTTCTTGGGAAACGACAGAAACTCCAAATGAAATCCAGAATGAGAGTAATGGTAAATAATCAATTTGCTAGAATTCATAAGTTATTATATTAATAATTTAGCAAAACTTTTAATTTAAGATAATATAGGCTGGGGTGATAATCCTGATGATAAAATTAATTGGGCTGAAGGTATCGTAGTAAATCGTTAATGTTGTTGAGCAAAAATTTGTCACGTTCAACTCCTTTTTTTCTATGCAGACGTTGATAAAAGTGAAGCAATTAAAGAAGTACCTAATAAAGATGAGAAGGTCGATGATGGTTGGGGACCTGTTGGTGATAAAGTAGTCGATGATTGGAATTAACTCTTTTTGAAGGTAAGAATACTTATAAAATGTTATCAACATAGCTACTATATAATTTCAAACACTTTTTTGCTTTCAATATTAGACATGATATGATATGATATGAATACTATACTAAACATCTTTAGCAGCAATCAAGTCATTCGAATTCGAACATAATATAGGTAATGATAAATATCAAGTATAATTTCTTATTTAACATTTATAAAATAATTTTTTTTTTTTTATAGCCGATACTGTTATTCCGATAACAAGATTAGTACCTCCCACAAAAACATAAACATTGGTGACTAAGTGTATTTAGCGCACACCATCATTAAACTGAATTTCAAGAATTTTGTAACGTGGTAAGGGAATAATTAAAGTTTGATTAAACTGTTTTTTTTTTTTCTTTTTTTTTTTCCATAAACATTTGAAAGTTTCACAATTATTTACCTAAAATTGTTGATATCACTTTTTGTTTGGTTATATTATTTATACTGATGTTTTTGAATATTATTATATCGTGTTAGAAAAAAAATTGGAATTGAAATGTCATAATTATTTAGGATTTTCAATAGTCTTATAGTTTTATTATTATTATTATTATTATTGTATGAACATTATAAATCAGTTTCTTTGTATAGTATCATTCGTATATGATCAGCATTTAGATAATTAAAAAATATATTTTTTATTAAATCACATGATATACTGAAATCTAATGAATGACGTAATAAATAAAAAAAAATTTTTTTTTTTTGCCATTATAAATGAAGTCATTTAAGATCAAAAAGTTTTCTCCCTCTTTGGATACATCAGCGAACAAAAGAAAAAACTGTCCTTTTAACGTAGACAGTAGTGATGTCAAAAGTACCATCTATCCTGAACGGTATTTAACAAAATGATATTCAACGTTTTAATTAAAAAATTAAAGGTTCATTAAAAATCAAAATTGATGAAAAAATTTGTTAATTAAATTGTATAGCCACGGAGGAGGATATCCAACTCCTTCTTTCGGCGACGTGTCATATTGGTGCCAAAAATTTGAATGTTCAAATGCTTCCTTATGTTCATAAACGTCGACCTGATGGTAAGATAGGAATTATTTTATTTTAAATATCATCAATTAACTTAATTAATTATTTTTTGATCAAATCGATTATTAACAATAAATTTTATTCTTATTAATTTAATTTAATATTTTATTTTGTTCTTATTCCTTTTTCCTTCCTTTCATAGGAGTTCATATTATTAATGTCGGTAAAACATGGGAAAAATTAACTTTCGCTGCCCGAATTATTTGCGCTATTGAAAATCCTGCCGATGTGGTTGTAATTTCAGCACGTCCATATGGACAAAGAGCCGTATTAAAATATGCATCATATACAGGAGCACTTCCTATCGCAGGAAGGTTCACACCTGGTACATTTACTAATTATATTACTAGATCTTTTAAAGAACCGAGATTAATTATAGTAACGGATCCAAAATCGGACCAACAAGCTATAAACGAAGCATCATATGTTAATATTCCAGTTATTGCGTTAGCCGATACTGATTCACCATTAAAATTTGTTGATGTATCAATTCCAACAAATAATAAGGCAAAACATTCGATTGGATTAATTTACTGGATGTTAGCAAGAGAAGTATTAAGACTTAGAGCTACCATTCCACGTGAAATACCATGGTCCGTTATGGTTGATATGTTCTTTTATAGAGATCCTGAAGAGGCTGAAAAAGATGCTGAAACGGCCGTAACTACTACTGCCGCTCCTGAAAAAGGGTTTTCTAGTTTTGAACCTGGTAATTGGGATGAAGGTGCTACAGATTGGGGTGCTGAAGGTCCTGGTGCTGTTAGTGGCATTAATCCTGCTTTAGCTGCTACCGCTAGTGCTACTGGTGGTGGTGGTGGTAGTTGGGATACTATAGATGAAAGTGGTGGTGGTGGTGGTGGTGGCGGCGGTAGTTGGGATACTCCTTTAGAAGATGTAGGTGGCACTGCTGCTGCCGTTGCTGTCGCAGCTGTCGCAGCAGCTGTTGGTGGTGGTAGTTGGGACACTCCTGAAGGTGGAAGTAGTTGGGATACTCCCATGGAACCTGCACCTCCTGCACCTCCTGCACCAGTTGAAGAAACTGGTGGTGGTGGTAGTTGGGAAACTCCCGCAGACGATGCTGGTGGTTGGGGTGATACAACCACCACAACCACAACTGCATTCAATGATGGTTTAGAAACCACAACTACTTTCGAAACTACGATTCGAACTACTACTGGTGGTAGTTGGGCTGATGAACCTGCCGAAAACCCTTCTAGTGGATGGGATTAAAAAAGTTATATATATGTGTTTTTTAAATTAAAGGAGAAACAAAAAGTTGGCGTTTTAATTATGTTTTTAATTTTTTTTATAAAAAATTTATTACTAATAACTATACATATTGCACAAAATAAAACAAATGTTTTGCTCAATTATTCATTTATTAGTACTTTGTCAAAATAATTCAAAACCTTTATGATAAGATCAAATCCTTTAATATAAATATATATAATAACCAAATCAAAAAAAAAAAAAAAAAAAATCCTATAATTATATTTATATCTTAAACTTTAAAAAATCTAAGGTAAAATAAATTAAAACTGGAAATTCAATATAAAAATGGAATGATCCTATTATTACCTTTAAAAACCAAACATTAACAAAACAAACATTACAAACTTTTAATTAACATTCATTTTTTTAAATTTTCTTTTTGTTTGGACCTTTGTAATTCCGCTTGAGATGGAGCTAAATCTAATCTATCAAATCTCTGTTCGTCGAAAAATTGAGCGGTAACTTGTTTACCACCAAAAAATCTACCGTTTAAATCTTTTTTGGCTCTAATTGCTGCAACAATGTCTTCAAACTTTACAAATATTCGTACAGCTTCATCATCCGGCAATTTTCCATGTGGTACCTATAACAACGCAATAAAGATGCAAAAGAGAGTTAGTTATAAAATTAAAAAAAAAAAAAAAGTTATTAAAGGTTTAAGTTAGATTAAATATGTACCTCAAAAATAAGACATCTTTCAACTGTTCCGTATTTCTCGTTGCATTCGTCAGCTGTTTCTTCTTGAAGTGTGCCATCGACTTCACCAGGCCCAACCTAGAAAAATGATAAATTTTTCTCTCTAAGAAAAACGTTTAAATATAAAATTAATTATAAAATAATAATATATTACCATGTTTGTTAGTAAGATCACTCTAGAAGGAAGTTCAGTGTCTGGGAAATACCTAGCAGAATTTTCACTATCTCTTTCAGATTTAACTAAAGTGAGGAATGAACGCGATATTTGAGTTTAAAATTTAAAAAAAAAAAAATTTTTTTTTTTATAAATTCAATATGATTCATACCTGTTGGATTGTTGTTAACAATAATTCCTGATCTAACATCAGTTTTTTGAACTGCTAATGGCTCACTAATACCTTGTTCATTCCTACCCAATCCTATTTAAAGGCAATATAAGATATAAATATTTCCTTAAAAAATATCATAAATTTATAAAATATAATACCATGTCCTTCTTGCCAGCCTAATTTAGTCAACATTCTATGAGCAAACTCTTCTCCAGATCCTAGACCAGCCGTAGACTTAGATTCAGGTGATCTACTATGTAAATATAATGATAGGATAATTAACATTTGGACTGCCAGGTTCTTCAAATCAAATTTTAATTACTTTGAAGTTTCCTCATGAGCACGATTGCTTAATCGAGCTCTTCGTAAAAAGGCTTCTTCACCGGTCATATCTAAATCAATTTTAGCAGGCGGAGAACGAGCAACAGGGGGAGTGTTATCCATTTCACTTTGTGGAGAATCATCATACAACAATGGTGGAGGCGGAAAATGACCTGAAAGCCAAGAAAAAAATTTCCATTAATGTCCTAAATTTCAAGTAAATCTCATTTTGTTACTAACGTCGTGGAGAACGTCTATCACGTTCAGGGCTCATGGATTTTTGTCGTTTACGTTCTTCCTGCCGACGATAAATTTCATCCTCTCTACGCCTCTTTTCCAATTCTTTATATTCTTCATAATCATTTGGTCGAGTAGGATCATAATCATCTTCCAGCAATAATGGAGCTTGTTTTTTACCGCCTTTAATTAATTTTTTCTATTAAATATAAAAACGATATACGATAAGATAATGTTATAAAAAATACAATATACAAAAATAATAAATAAAATGAATGGTTATTAACTTTATCAAAGCCACTACGCTGATTCCTTTGAGTATTCAAAACAGATTGGAAATCATTAACATCTTCTGAGGAAAAATTTTGTTTTGGAGGAGAGGTTGTGGAAGAATTCATAGCAATGGATAATCGACTATCAATTGAAGAAGCCAAATCTTGAGTAGGTGACACATGACTTTGGATTGGAGGAGGACTTGAAAAGGCAGTATTCGGTTGTTGTTGGCTCGAAGGTGTTTGATTCGCTGTAACATTAGTAGTAATAGAACTTGTAGTAGTACTAGCAGTAGAAGAATTGATAGAAGTAGAATTCGAAACCGAAAGACTGGAAGTTGTAGTAGTGGTGGTAGTGGTAGTGGTGGCAGGAACCGGAGGAGAGGAAATTGTAACTCGAGAAGCCCTAGGTTTTGATTGAACTACAGATTTTCTCTGAATTGTAGGCATAAAACGCAACGTTCCAGGAGTCCAACCAACTTGAATAAAGCATTCGTTTCGGCATATTGTATACGGGTAGTAAAACGTTGCGTTTAATTTGTTTTCGGTGGTTTTGACGAAATGTTATTTTAAAGGTGAGTGAAATTTTCTTTTTTTTTTTTTTTTTTTTTTTTTTTTTTTAAAAAAAATTTTGGGATATTCGATCATATATTGTAACATACTACTTAAAAAATTTATCATGCATAAAGTGAAAAAAGTCTGAAACAAGATCCAATTTTCAAATTTATATAATAAAAGTTGCGGTATTTATTTGGGTTTGCCAGAATCTGCTTGTACCTGGGAGAGCAGATTTAGACGGTTTCGAAGTTGAAGTTGTTTCCGACGTAGACGTAGACGTCGTACTCGTAGTAGTCGTTGTAGCGCTCGTAGATTGTTGCTTAGTAGTTTCTTCTTTTTCTCCAGAACCACCTGGTGAAGAATGTGTTGGTGGTGGGAGATCTCCGTATAATGATGACATGTTTATTTAAGTGTCTTAAAAGTTTCTCTATGAACAAATGTTAAACTTTCTCGAATCTGTTAAAAAAAAAGATAAATTAGAAAAAAAAAAGGTTATGTAATAATAAAAATTGGGTAAAATCGGGTAAAGTTTCCGGACGATATATGGGCAAAAAATTTAGGGTCCAAATTTTTTAACTAAAAATAATTTCAGGGATGTTACAATTGTGCTACATTCAGATATAATATCGGTTATTATTTAGATAATTGTTACGATATATCATAAAATGTAATATATTATCCATTAGATTGTAAGCAAGATTACTAAAATTTAGCAAGTCATATAAATAGCAAAAGGTAAATTTTAAAAAAATCCAATAAAGATAAAATTTTATTAAAAATCATATATTTTATTTGTATTTTTTAATTTTTAATAATCTAATTAAAATTTACTTTTCTGTAATTTTCTAAATTTCTTTTCTATAATTTCTGTAAAATTCTTTTTCTAATTCTCCATAATAATTATTATTTTCTATTATTATTATTCTCTAATATTTTTAATATTTCTATTTTAATTAATCTGATAATTCTATTATTCCTATTTTAATTATTTCATTAATTCTGTTATTTCTTGTCTAACTATTCTATTATTTCTGTTATTCTTATAATACAATTATGATATCATATTTTCTTTTTAATATTTCTTTTATTTTTTTTATTTAAAGTTATTTGATATTCAGTAGTTGTATTTATCCTTTTCATTTAGTAAGTAATTTATCCTTTTCTTTCAGTAAATAATTTATCTATCAACTAATAGTTTATTCGTATTCTATATTTTTGTTTTCAATTAAATATTTATCTATTAATCTATAATTTAATTGATTATTTTCTTAGTTATTTATTCGTAATATCACGTAATATTAATTCTACAGATTCTTGACTCTACAATATTGATTTTCTCTTGATGTAAAACTAAGTTATAAGTTAGATAACATATTAATAACTTGATCAAAGATACTCTATAAATATTGTGATATTCTTTTTAAATGTATTAATTTTTATTTCTGATTCATGTAAAGAAGTAACATAAGAAGAAGAGTTTATTCTATCATTGCGAAATAGTATGATCTATAAGACCTCTATTGCTTGAATTAATTAATTTCTTAAGAATGTTAAAGAATAGTTTAAGATAGATATCTTTGGCTTCTATATTTGTTTAGAGTAATTTCTAATCATAAATTAACAGCTTTTTTTTTAGTTTTTTCTTATATAAAGGATCTGTATTATTGATCTAATACATTTAATAAATTCAATTTCATTAATTCTCTTATTATTATTTATCTCAATTTCTTCTATTATTAGTTCAGATTTATCATCAATTCCTTAAAATAAAGAATAAAAAAAATTATATTTAATCAATTAATCTTTAAAAAATTATAAATGAAATTAAAAAGTTTATCTCTGATTTGTTTTGCATTTGATTAGAATTCTGCTTTTTTTTTTAAAATACTTGTATTGAAGACCTAGCAGTATTTATCATTAAACCTCTGAACCTCTGAATTCAGTCTTACTGTTTACAATATGGCTCATGTAATGTTTATGACAAAATTGAAAAAATTTCAACTTTCAAGTAGGATCTAATATTCTGTACCTTAAAACTTTGCATTTAACATCCTTTGTAAATCTTTAAAACTTTTTTTCAAACCCTTTTATTTCACAAATAGCACATGATCCTACAAATTTTCCTTGTAATTTTTATTGTAGAATTTTCATTGTTTCCTCAGAATTGTTAAAAATTTTATTGGAGAAGTGTGTGTGATTAATAAGATTAATTTTATCTGAATATTAAAACAAAGTTCTAGAAATATATTCGAGTGATTTTTGTTAATTGTTATATAAAATGATTATAAAAAATCATCATCATTTAATATTACTTTAAATTATATAATTGCTTTGATCACATGATATTACATAATTAAATTAACTAACTAATTATATAAATATTTATCATATTACTATAAATAAGATAGGTTAAATTTTAGTTAAATTTTAGCTGATTTTAATGTATGTCAATTAACTAAACTGATTTTTGATAATTTGTCAATTTTAGGCTAATTTAGGCTAAATTTTTACATGTTCAATTTTTTTGAAATGATGATAAATCATTTATTTTAAATAAAACTTAATTGTTTAATTAAATAATAATAAATTATTTTTCTTAATTAATAATTAATTATTCAATTAAAATAATGATAAATCATTTTTGTTAAATAATAATTAATCATTTAATTAAAATGATAATAAATTTTTTTTCTTAAATAATAATAGATTATTTAATTAGAATTATTTTAATTAAACAATAACAGATTATTTTAATTAAATAATAACAGATTATTTTGATTGAATAATAATAAATCATTTTATTTAATTAATATTAAATCATTAAATTAAACTAATAATAAATTATTCTTTTTAAATAATAAATTGTTTAATTAAAATAAAGATAAATCAGATTAAAAATAAAAATAGAAAATTTCTTTTGTAAGATTTTTTTTAATAAATTTGACAGTAATAGAAATCATTTTTCTTATATTATTTGATTAAAAATTATTATAATTGAATTAGTTAAATATATAATTCTGATAAAAAAAATTGATAATTTTTTTTAGATTTTAGAATTAATTCTTAAATCAAAGTTGAGTAATTTATATGTATTAGATAAATTTTGACCTGTACTTGTATTGTATTATATTAAATTTTATATTAATTATTATGTATACTAATTGTATTAAACTATATTAAACTTTACTAATTATATTAATTATCCTAAATAATAATATAAATTATGATGTAAATAAGTTCTTTATATTATATTTTAATAAATACCTGCAACCTGATGATTACAAATATAACACAATAATTCTACTAAAAGAATACTATTAATGTATTAGAGTTTTATGAAAAAATGATATTCATAAAGTTGCAGATCTTTAAAAAGCTATCAAATATATATTAAAACTTTATACAGATAAGTAAATAATTCAAAAATAAACAATCTTAAGCAAAAAAGTCATTTAAAATGTCCAAAATATTTTTCTTCTTTTTAGTATTGCTATTTTAATCAAATTGTAAAATCACATAATTGTGTGTCAAGTAATAAAATAATTAAAAACCTAAAAAAAATACCTTGACTTTGATATTACATCTCAGACAGTTAGAAAAAATCTTCAAAACCTTAAGTATAAAATTTATATTTCTTGTTTAATTCTTTCTTATTCAAGATATTATGAATTGTTATGTCACTTAAGTGAAAGTTTATTAAAAAATATGTTAGAATAATATGATTTTTTGATAAGTTAATATTTCAGATATTTTATAATATAATGCTAGTTTATTACAAAGTTAGAAAAATAATACTAAGATAAGTTATAGTAAAATACTCTTTAAAGTTTATATATAAGATATATTTTATGTAAATGAAATATCAGATCTCATATGTTTACAGAGAATATAAATGATAAGCTTTACTAAAAGATTATAACTGAAAATTTGTTTGAACAAATATTCTAGATCTTTTAAATAAGTGGATATTCTAACAGAATAACAATTTTAAATATTGAGCTAAACTTATAATCATTTGTTTTAGAATTATTATTCTCAAGTTTTTAATTGGTTGTTTTCTTCTCTAAATCTTAATCTAATTGAAAATCTATGAAAAATAATAAAAAGAAATATTGAGAAGAAGGTTAATATTATAATTATTGAAAAATCAATTATGCATATAGATAAGAGACAAAACCCCTTAATAACAGTCAAAACTTAGACGAAACTATATTAAAATCATAATAAGGGATATAACGAAATCCATTCGATATGACAAAAGCCAAACTATCAAAACTATATTAAAAACATAGAAAAGGGTATGACAAAATTATTTTGAGAAGGTTTTGGCAGGCATCTATAGTTATGCAAAATATTTTTATGAGGTTAATAAGGAAAGAATAGGAAGTAATTAATAAAAATTTATATATTAATCTCATAAGGCCTATAATAAAGTATTTAAAATAGTAGTAAAAAATCAAGGTCATATGATAAATTTAAAATTTTTATATTTTTATTATGTATATTTAAAAGGTTAGATTTTAAAATTTTGGATTTTTTAATAAAAACTGAGCAAAGTATTTGTAATTGTCAGTTTTTCTGCCAGAACTATATTAATAATTATTTTTATTAGAGCTCTGAACAGGTTAATTTAAGTTAAATTAATAAAATTACTTGAACTGAAAGAATTAGGTCAAATCAAATAAAAATCTGTTATAGTTTAAATTTTATTTGATCTAATCTGATCTAACCTAATCTGATCAAATTATTCAAGAAAAAATTAGCTATTATTCAAAAAAAACAATAACGAATTATTCTAATTGAATGATAAATTCATTATTTTTAAATGATAAATCATCATTTTAAACAATAAAATATCATTTAAGAATAATAATAAATCATTTTAATTGAACGATAAAACATTATTTAAAAATAATAAAAATATCATTTTCAAATATAAAATCAGCATTCTTGAATGATAAAATTATTATTTTTAAATAATAAAATTATTATTCAAATGATAAACATTGTTTAAGAATGATAAAACATTTAAAAATAATGATTTATTAACCTGAATTTATCAGATCAGATCAGGTTAACCTGTTAACCTGACCTAACATTAATCTAAAAATTTACTGGTCTGATCTGAATTTTCAGATCAGATAAACAGGTCAATCTAATTTGATCTGAAGTTCTATTTATTATATTATTCTTTTATAATTTAATAATATTTAATATTATTTAAATAGTAAAACAAAAAAAAATTTTCTTTTAGATCAAATCAAATCAGATCAGATTAGATCAACTTAACTTGTTAGATAAATCTGATTAAATCATATAATAATTAGATCAAATAAAAATTTAAATTAAGTTAGATTTCTACTTGACTTGATTTGATCTCTCAGTTTAAATAATTTGATT